AATAATATCATCTGAGCCAATGTCCTCAGCTACTAACGAGGGAGAAATGTTAGATTTCCCCCTGTATAAAGGAGGGGCTGTATAAAGCCTACACACAGTCACGAATCTTTCAGGGACAGTTTCAGAAGAGCATTTACCTGGGTAGCTGTCTGTTTGGCTGCTGTGGGGCTTGTCTGCTCAGCACCCACCCAGGGGCACACACAGGCTTACTCCAAAGGAGATGCAGTGTTGCTGCATCTCACCCACAGTGCAAGACAGCAACACTGGGGTGAGTGTGTCCTTGGGCACCTCCACTGGGGACCGGTGGTCAAAGGTAACATTCCCACAAACATAATGCCAGACTTCTTTGAATGTGGGCAAGGGGCATCCCTGAGGATTAGTCTGTCCAGCACAGCATGAGTTGAAAACCATTATGTCTCTATTTAACAAAAAGAAGGAATTGCTAGACTCAAACTTGCCAAGGTTGCCACTCTTACAGGAACAGAAATGTTAGTTCCATACCAGTTTGGTGCTTAGAGGTGAAAAATGTGTTATTGTCTTGGATGACAACATCAAAAAGCGCAAAGCAAAACAAACAGGCAAAAATAAACATGACAGAATGTAAAGAAATATGCTGGGCTGCTTCCTTCATGTATTTATATACCTGCCCTATATATATTTTGAAACTTTCAGTGTGCACATGCTAGCAGCTCATTTGTGGGGAAGCCAAGCCACCATTCCTGGCCAGGTGTGAGCTGCAATTTCCCAGGGCCATGTGGTGCCCAGATGCACAGTGAAGCCTCTTGCTGCCCTGTGCAAACACAGGGTGGGCTAGGATGTGTTAGGATGCCTCCTGCCAGCTCTGCTCTCCATCACAGAGTGGTGACAGTCAGCACCAAGCATCCCTGTCACCAAAAGGGCTCTGCTTACAGAGACTTGTGCCTTTGAGCAGGAGTGAAGCCACAGGTCTGGGTCCCTCTCTGGTTGAAATCTGGCTTCACTCCCAGTCAAGAGCCCCAGGGACCGAGTGACCACATGGACCTGCAGGAATAAAAGGAAGGGGCACGTCAGCCCAGCTGGCTTCCCTCCATGTACCACTCAAGAGGCAGGTGATGTCCTCTGCTCTGATGATGTCCTCTGCTCTGATTGACAATGCAGGCACCTGCAAAACATCAGGTTGCCATAGCCAAGCATGGTCTTCGTGCTGTTAAAGATGGAATTGCTTCAGGATGCTTTGGTTAACAAAGGAAAACTAGCAGAAGGAGGCTTTTCCCATCAGGGAGGGAGCGTGGGAGGAAGCATGGTGGGTGACTCACACAATGCCAGCCCAACAATTGCAGGAACTTGCTGGAGGAAATGACTAAAATAGCCACGTGGGGCAGCCCTGGAGAGCAGGCTTCAGATAAATAACCAGAACATGAAAGCTGAACTGCACAAGGTGAGGAAGAGCAAGCAGGGAGGGGGTGAGGGGAGGTCTCAGAAGAGGATGATGGAGGGAATTGCTGCCATCCTCAATGGCAAAGGACTCTCCATGGCAACGACTGGAAGGTCAGCAGCAGTGCTGAGGGGTGCAAAAGGACCTAGACCTTTCCCAGGGTCTCTAGTACAGACACTGCAGCTCATCTTTGGTTCCTCTTGACCTGGGACTAGGCAACTGGTCATTGGATGTGCCAAAAAATAAAGCCAAGCAAAGGTTTTTTACTCCCTCTTTGCCTTTTGGAAGAACATGGCCAGAGGCAGTTATATCAGCATGAGTACACCAGGAGGAAAGTATTTTCAGTGTAACTGTCTGAGAAAAAGGTACAGCCCCCATCCTTTCCCTGGCCAAGAAGGCAGAGCTGCTGCCCAGGAGCTGTGAGTCTGGAGAGCCCAGCTCCATCATCTGCTGCATGCCTTGGCCTCGGACTCAGGAGCACGAGCACCTTCGTGCAAAGTTCATAAGCTTTTGCAGAGTTTATGTTAAAATGGGAGCTCTAATAATCAATCTCCCTGCAAAACAAGTAAACAGAGGGATGTCACCGCGCCAGCCTTTGTTTTCAAAGAGAGTTCTCCCCGTTGGCTATTGCTGAAATGAATTTATTTCTTCATCATAGATATTCCCTATACAGAATATATAGTTTAATAGCTTTGATCTCCCCACATGCAGTACTTGAAGCTGATTCCAAGTTTTATACAGTTAAACACTACCACATGCTTGAAGAACTCAGTACAGCCTTTTCTATAAACTAGCGTAAATCAGAGTAGGAATTTGAACTGCTTCTTGCCAAAATAGAGGGTGTGCCTCTTGCCCACGCTAAATTCCTTCCTTCATCTCTGCTCTGCTCACAGTTAACCTGCAGTGCAGCAGCCTGGGTTTAGGCGATGCCCACTGTGTCCCATGCAGGAACACTGCAGCCTTCCAGTGACTCAGAGAAATGCAGACCAAAAATTAATAGTCCAAATCACCAAGACAAGAAAGTCTTTCCAGTCCTGGTTACATTTGTTTGTCAAAACACATGAAATCTTGGGGAAAAAAGTACAAAAGGGAGAAAAAATCATCTGTAGCACCTAGAGGACAGCCAGTCTCGAGAAACACGTCCAGCCCTTCTCCATTTCACTATCCACAAAGCCATTTCAAGTACAGAAATATCATTCATTAACATGACAGCCCAGTTTAGTCCCAGAGCATCAAACATCCCTGCATGGAACTGCACCCTTCAGCATCTTCAGGAGAGGATGAAGCAAGGGCTGGTGTGGGCAGCAGGGGCTCATTCCTGCTGAAGGCAGTCAATCTTCTAAAAATCAGATTGAAGCAAAGCCCAGTTTGGCCTTTGGTTACTTGAAGATTTTTTTCCTGAAGGACACATGCAAGGGCTAAAATAAATAGCATATTTCCAGGAGGGCAAGGAGGGAACAGTTAAAAATCGCACTGGAGGGGAAACTCCTGGGCAGCCTGAGGGTAACAGAAAGACAAGTAAACATGTGGGCAGCGAGGAGCCTAGCCTGTGGCTTTATTTGGGATGAGAACTTTTTCCAAAATGGGTGATGCTTCCCATGATGCACAGCCGCCACAGACAGTGCACACTCTGAAGTGCAAAGCTGTATGTTTTACCTTCATCCAGACATCCCCATGGCTAGCACCAGGACCAGGGCATTTCTCCAGACCTGTCCCAGTTTGGGGCTGGATATCACCACTTTGATCCACAGAGAACTGTGATTCTTGCTGTCCTCTCCTGTGCAGAGGCCTGGAGCACTGGAGGAGCTTGTTCTTATCCTGGACTGATGACAAGGAAAACAAGAGCCTGAAGAGGGGAGGAGGATGTGGATTGATTTGGTTTCAGTCAGTGCTCCTTGCACACACTGAAGGCTCTTAGGACCAGTCTGAAATATCCACTTGATTAGAAAATACAGAAACAATTAAGCACTTACTGCTGTTTACTTTTGCAATAGGAACAATTGATCCTTCTTCCTTCTGACTTCCCCCTCTAACCCTAATTCCTCGCTCCGCACACAGCCAAGCACAGTTCAGACAGGGGAAACAGTAAGAGAGATTAAGATTCTGGACTTCAGTAAGAAACATAAATCAGCTTTGAAATAGTCACATTTTTTGGACTAACTAAAGGAAGTCATCTGTACAAAACAGGCTATGGCCACTTTTTTGTTCTAACTAGAAATATGCCAGCTTCCTGGCTGTTAGAAAATACATTTTTTGTTGGTTTTGTTCATGACAGTGGGATCAAGTAGCTGGCAACATTTGAAGAGGAACTTAGATCAGGGGAAAGAAAGAGGCAATATAAAGGCACTGCTGTGGCACTGGCTGATGGCATGGCCAGACACAGACAGAACTCTTTGGTGATGCACAAGAAAGAAGCTGAGTGCAGGATATAGCCCAGGGTCTCAGGCTGTGAATGGAGCACATTGGAAGGAGCAAAAAGGAACCATGACACCCCATAATGCCTCTGTTCCTTAGAGGTATTTATTTTCATGTCTTTACTCTGTATTTTGCCACACTGGGGGTGACACATTTCCCAAGACTGTGTTACTGGAGGGTTTCCTGGAACTGCTGACCTCCAACCCATTCCTCGTTAGCTGCAGGTGCCAGCGTGTACTGGGGCATCAGTTCATTACCACATCAGCAGAACCTGTCCCTGTCCCAAGGTGTGGCTGGGGGTCCCTGTGGCCTCCAGAATGGAACCTCTGTGCTCAGGGGCTGCACAACTGTTGGCCACGGTTAGTCCAGTGTCTCGCCTCATTTGCCAGCAGTTACTTCACTTCTTAAAATGGTTAAGAAAAGTAAACTATATGTTCTGCTTGAATATATATTAAACAGATGCAGCTTTCCCCCTTTGGTTTGCTGCTTCTTAGCCCAAATCATGTCGTTGCTATAGTTTATGCTACAGCCCTCAAAAACAGTTGCATTGGCACAGCTGTGGGCAGTGGGAATGACCACGATCTCTGCTGGAACAAAAAAGTTCAGCACCAAAGTTCCACCTCGTGTAAGACAAAGACCAAGAGAGAGCCCAGAAAAGCCTTTGGGATAATAACTTCGCGTGGGAGAGGCAACAATGTGTTTTCTTTTTCCACTTCTGCAAAATGAAGTTATAATGTAAATGCTTCAGGACTATAGCAATGGGAGGGGAAGCGCATTGGAGTATAAAACATATGAAATGTCTCATGGCAAAGAATTGTTGAGAAATGCCCAGGAATAACAGAACTTCGGCTTCACATCTGTTCTTAAATATGTAAACCAGGTAAAACTCCACTGGACAGTTTCCACTGTCAAATCTGGACATGCTGGACTTTACATTAAAACTATTTTTTCTCTGAAAGCAGTTACTGAAAACTTCAAAGCAAAATGTCATGTCCTTCACTTTGGTGTCCCATCTTTTGCTGTTTAGTGTCCCATATGACACCGATCTACAGTTCTAACAGCTTTCTCCTCTAAAGAGGAGAGTGTCCTGAAAACACAGTGGCTATACAGCTCAGTGGCTCTGAAGACAGGAAAATGGCATCTTTTTTTTTTAAGTCTGCAATACAGCCACCTTCCCACTGGCCATGTCAACATGGTTGTCCCTGACTGAGACTAACGCTCTGTAAACAAAACCCAAGGAGCTGGGGAAACCGCCTTTCTGCTGCCAGCACTGACATCACCTGCAGTGTGTTACCTCAGCCCAAATACCACCACACTGACAGCACTGCTGGGTGCCTCTGTTCACCTGGAGCAGCATGTGCTGGTCTCCAGGCAGCTCTCTGGTAGCAGGAACCACACAGGCACACTGCCTGCCCACAGCATCCTTCACAAACTGTTCTAACACATGCACACTCTTTGATTTCACAACTGTTTGCAGGCGGCTATAATTTTTTTTGCATTCCTGAGGGATGATTATTTCCCACTGGATTTCGGGAGAATGGTGTATGGTTATGGGTGTATGGATCATGGTTTGTGCTGTATCATTAGATAAACAAAGGGATTGCACAGGTAGAAGATCTGGCAGGGCAGAACTGGGAGAATGCAAGTTACCAGGGGGCAGTTTGGCTCTAGTGGCATTCAGAGGGTAACACAGGTCTGAAGAGAGAGAGCATCACAGAGAAGACACAGCCTGGTTCCTGGTGCAGCCAGATAAGGTGTCCAGTCTGACCTTCCCTAGCCTCCCAAAGCAAATGACAAATCTGTCACATCTCCTTGGAGAAATACAGATAAATATACTGATATATGGGTCTATGGATCCACACATATATTCTGCTTGTCCAGGCATCTTCCACTGCAATTCTTATTTCTCCTCTATGACAGTAAGGATGTTCAGGGACAAACGCTTCCCAGAACAGGACTGCAAGAAGCAGCACGTACCACCATGTCTCTACCCTTCCATCTCCAATATCCACCATGGAAAAGGACAGCAGTCATGCAACTGTCACTGCTCATCAGCATCCTGGCACTGCAGAGAGCCAAAGAGCACCAGAATTTACTCTAATCATCTCTATCCAGTGAGTGTGGTTGCAGAAAGTCAGATGTGATCAACCTCAGAGCACAAGTGATTGCTGCAGTGCTTCTCCTTTATCATGTCAGGGGCAAAACAGAGGCTGTGTGTGGATCCAGTCCATTCCTCTGGAAGCAGTGCCACAGAGCAGCCTGGCTTATCATGGTTGAGCTTCAGTAGCAGGCCCTTGCATAGTTAGTTTGGTTTCTGCCCCATCAGTGACCTACCAACAGTGTCTTGTGCCCCACTGGATAGGTGTATAGCAGGGTGGGCCTTGGCAGTGGGATTAACCCACTGGGTTCTGTAGAAATCATTCATTGGTCATAGGCAGATTAATAGAGAATGACACTAGGTAATTCATTTTCTGTTACAAACCAAAAGAGAAAGTACTTCATGGGATGCGTCTCATTTTCTAACCAAGCCTATAAGTAGGACTTACCCTCTCTCCAAGTTAAAACTACATGATACAGAACATGAAATTTAATTGCAATCTTTTCAGAAGAATCCTAAACTGGCAGGGGCATGGACTTGGAATCAGAGACCCTCACTTATGTCTGTTTAGGGGTTCAATGTGCCCATCGTGTTGACTGTGTACTTGGCTTTAGACATCTGGTTTATGCCAAATGCAACTTACTCTGGGTTTGCAAACATCATCTTGGTGTGCAAGAACAAGCTGGAGATGAAGCCTGGCTCTCCACGCTCACTATCAACAGGTCTCTCAAGGTGGGAGTGTAAGTTGCTAAATTTTTTGTCCTTTTTTTTTTGTCCTGCAGCATGGGTAATGTTTTCTTGGATAGAAGATTTTTTCAGCTAGCAATGTCCAAAATCCAACTGGCACACCACGGCTGAAGTTACAGAAGGATCCCGTCTGACTGAAAGGGCTGAGAAGGAAAAAAGTGTCAGTGTGGGGCAAAGAAGCAGGTTTTGGCATCCAGACCAGACAGGAAGATGGGAAGCAGGCTGGGCTGCGGCAGGTTGCTGGGGTGATGTGGGCACAGACAGAAAGAAATGGAAAGGGGGGTTCATCCTTTCCACTGTCCAGCTGAGGGGCTCTGCAGAGGGACAGGGAAAGGCCAGGCCAGTATTTCTGAAAAGGTTGCAGTAGTGTATTAATGCAGAGAGTGTTCTTCTGCTTGAGGAGGCAAATATAAAAGACAGACGAGCACTTTGGAAAAAACCCTGTCATTTCAGGGTATGCCTGCTCTGTGGAAGCGTAAGGACTGGCACGCTTGACAGCAACCACCAGGAACACTTCCCTGAGCCTGTCCAAGGCTTGTCAAGAGCACAACCAACTCATGCTGGGCTCACAGGGGTGGGGCAGCTGGGCTCCCATGTCATGGCTTGCTATCCCAAGCATGGGACAGCCAAGGTGAGGATCCCCAACCCCAGTGGGGACCAGTGCAGTTCTGCAGCCCCTGTCACCTCTGACAGATGTACAGCTAAAAGCTGCTCTCGCCTGCCATTAGCACATTTTATCATCATTAATCTTTCAGGAAAATTCTGCAGTATTCTAAAGCACACCCTGGGTAGCAAGTTAAATTTGTATGTTTAAACAGAGTCTGTTCACCTTTTCACTGTGAAGATGCGGCAACGATACCCCTTGCTGGGGATTTGATGATGTCAGTGCTGGGGATGGGATGAGGTTAATGGAAAACCTTCACCAGAGCTCACTTCCTCTGCAAAGTGAAGCTGAAATTTTCAAGCATGCACAAGGACTTAAGCATGCAACTCGTGTGCCCCTCAGAGCAGGAAATGTGAGTCCACAGACATCCTGCACTGCCTATGGACCTCTGTAGGCACTGAGGGAGGAGGAGGATTTAGAAATAAGGTGCTGGAGGTGAGTGGGAGGAAAAGGGAGGAAAGGAAGGTAGATATAAAGGTTATAATTACATGAAAACATGCTGTTGAGGTAATTTTATTCTGGAGAATGCTGTAGAACTGAATAGGGGAAAAAACCCAACAGGCTGTGAGCACTGCAGAGAATCATCAGAAAATTGCATCCTTGCTCTAAAATGCTATGGACTACCCTGAGATCAGGGGGAAATCTGGAGCAAGAGAGAATTGCCTTCAGTGGAAGTGGTCATGTTAGGGAACATTTAAACAAATTGGACATATGCAGGCCCATGGGACCTCATGGGATGCACCCAGGAGTCCTAAAGGGCTGGCCAATGTCATTGTGAGGCCACTCTCCAATCTTGGCAATCAGAAGAGATTCCTGAGGACTGGAAGAAAGAAAATATTTCTCCTCCTTCAGGAAAGGCAATAATAAGATCTGTGTAGCTTCGGCAAAGAAGACCATTGGTGTAATGAGCTGCATGAGACAAAGTTTGCCAGCAGGTCAGAGGAGGTGGTCTTTACCCTCTCCTCAGCAGTGGACCTGGAGCTCTGTATCCAGTTCTGAGTTCCTGGGCAACCTGCTCTATCTGGCCTACTCTGAGCAGGAGATTGGACCAGATAATCTCCAGAGGCCCCACCAGTCTTACACAGCCTTATCAGTCTGTGATTCCAATGTTACCATCTTCAATTTGCTACGATTTTGTCTTTTCACTCAATGATTGATAGAAAGGCTTTTTTAGTGAATGATAGTTTTTAGCTAGTAAGAAGCATCTGATCAGACTTTATCAGTTCTCAGCCCGAAAAGAAAAGTGTACAGGGATTTTCATATGGATTAAACAATGCAGCTACTACATGTACCCAACAGGTCTTGAAAGAATAACCCTGGACTAATGAGAAATTGTCGGAAAATGTCACAGACCAAATGGTATCATTACTCTGGCTAATGCTTACAAGAGTGTGAACAAACCTTCTGGGAAGACTCTCTTTCAAATTCAGTTTTAGAGAAATCTGAAGAGATTGGGAAAGGTTTCCCAGCTCGCCTGGGACGTCAGCAAAGCCCTTTCTAATCAATAGCCTCATGCTCCAGCCTCAGGGGAGAAGGCCAGGCAGGTTGGTTTGGAGCTTGCAAGGAGTGCTGTGGGGCCTTTGACGTGTGCTCCTGCAGAAGCAGCTATTCCATGTTAAAAATATGTATTTTTAGCACAGCAGCTTGCAGCCTCATGCTGAGAGAAAGAAGCTGAGCCAAGGGAGGGAGGGCTGATGCTGCAAGGTCTGTGGCAGGCAGAACAGATGCATAATTTCATGCTGAAAAAAATCACCTCCTTATACAAGCTGCCTCCATTACCCCTCCCACCACCATTGGTGGCATTTGTCTTTCTGGAAAGTGAGGCCTACCACATAGAAAAAGTAATTTATCTTCTCCTTTTAGGAGATGTTTTTGCTGGCAGAGCCACACACCTTTTTTGCCTTTCAAAGTTTTCCAAGCACTTGTGGTGAAACGTTTCTAAACACCCTCCAGTAGAGCCCATCAGCGCAGTCACTGCTTGGCTGGAGCTCATGCTCAGCGGGGAGATGTGCTCAGCTTCCTCAGCCACTTGCAGCTCTGCTGGTACGCTGCCTGTACCCTGCCAGCAGGACGCCCTGTACGCCCTGGTGCCACGTGTAACTCCACGGAGCAGCGATGAGGAGGCTCGGCTGTGGTTCAGCTAAGCAGTAAATGTTTTTTGACAAGAAACAGCAGTGTGAAGTTTAGTCTTCTGTGCTGTGCTGAAGTCGTTCCAAAATTATGATCTGCAGCACCTCCCCACCCACTGAGTTGCTACTCCTGGGACCAGACCACCCAAATTCTCCCTCAGTGCACTGCAGGCTACTGCAAGGCCAAGTCCACGTTGTCCCTATACACTATGAGATGGAGAGCTTTCCAACACTCTATTTGCCATCATCACGGACTGGTTATGTTCAAACTCCATGTAGATAAAAGATTTTTTCTATTAATGCTGGGGATAAACTCAAAATCAAGAGAGGAGAGAGTGTTTTGCTGCCTTCTGACTGTCAGGATCTGCCCTTCTCCCACTTGCTGAATGTGCAGAAGAGAGGCAACATTTGTCCGGGATGGGAACTCAACATCAAAAAGGTGGAAGTGGTGAAGCCATCCAGCACTGAATAAACTGGCAGGTAAGGGAGAAGTAGATAGAGAGCAGGAATTATTTTTCTCAATAAAGAGCTTACCCAGGGTTTTTCACAGCACAAGGGAGAGAGGAGAGTAAGGTCCAGAGGCAAGTGTGAACAGGACAGAAGGGGGGATGGCGCACAGCCCAGACCCCGATTTGTGCAATTTTATTATGGTGAAAGGACGTGAAGCAAAAGCCAGAGAGGTCACAGGGCAGTGCTTGCCCTGAGCTACTGCTGGGCACTGGAGTTCCAGGGGGGCACACTCTGCAGAGCGCTCAGACCAGGATGCTCTGTGCCTGACTGCAGAGGAATAAAAAAGGATAAAAGGCCTGTGTTTATCCAGTGTGAGGGTAATTACTCACAAATATTAAGCTTCACATTTACACACCACAATCTCACAAACTGCCCCAAATCTCACATATCAAAAAAGGACCTCTCTGAAAGGCAGAGGGGACTTCTCTTGTGGGCTCTCCCATGATGCATTCAAGAAGCAATCACTTTGAAGGATGAAAAGTTTTCCTGTTTTGAACTGAAGTGGATAGTGAGAAAATTAACTCACTGCAACCTGTTCCGGAATCCAGGTGCTTGTAGCAAGCTGGTTCTCAGCCCATCAGCCATGCCTGCTCTCAGCCATACAGCTCTCAGGCTTGGTGCAGTACAGAGCAACTGACAGCAACCACCCGCCTGCCTTTGCTCACTCGTTGTGAAATACAAGTGAATTTCTTCAAGCTGTGTAAATGCCTTAAAAGGGAGAAAACAGAATTATCACACTTTTTACGCTGTCCTTGTAGGAAGGGACTTCTCTTTCCAGTGTTATACCCAGGGAAAACATGCTGTGTATTGTATCCCCAATAATGCTGAGCAGCACAGAAACACTCATGGACTTTGCAGAGGAGATAGGCAAAGGAGGGAATCGGGCCCTTTCCATGTTAACAGATTTATTAACTTCTCTGGGCTGGAATTTCCATTTCCAGGTAGAAATGGAGCACTTTGCCCAGGGTTTCAGAATTGGAGCAAAACCCAGGAGTATGACAGTAATCAGGATCTCCTCTCTCTCTTTTTGGAAAGCTGGGGTGATTTGCCCTGCCAACACAAAGCAGAACAACCAGCTCTCCCATCCCCGGGGACTTCAGATAATCTGGGGAATGCAGCTTCCCAGGGGATGCCCCGGGGAAGAGCAGTGGGGGAGGATGCCGAGAAGGTCAGTGTAAAACACAGCACATACTCTAAATCTTCCTGATAGAGCACAAGCTTTAAAACCCACTCCAATCAGAGCTGCAGCTTGTTCAAGCATTGAAGCAGAATTATTACCACCTCCAAAGACATGTTGGATGAGGACAGAGCTTTCCATGCTACCTCTTCTACAGCCAGAAAAGCGAAAGCTGCAAGGTCGGTGCTATTGCACAAAAGGGGCCCTCTTACGCAGGGGGATTTCCCTTTGAGGAGTGCAGCTGGCCGAGCCCAACCTGCAAGAAGTTCTCTGCGTCACGGGATGCTGTGTGGGCATGAGGCATGGTGCAGCCACGGTGGGGGCGGTTGCCTTAGGAATAAAGCCCACGTCAGTCTTTTGCTGACTAAAACATAAAGGGAACATAAGTTACTAGTAACTGGTCTGATATTTACTGCTGACAGGCTTCAAGAGCTCAAAAAAAGCAGAAGAAAACCAAGTTTGTAGCTTCCTGTGTTCATTAAGCAGACGGAGGAGCAGGGGAATGTGGGCTGTGTGCGGGACACTTTCATGACCCCTCTTGCAGGAGCGATCACCGCACGGCCGTGCTGTGCAGGCGCGTCCGCCCGCACCAGAGGGCAATGCGGGAGCAGGGACACGGGGAGAGCAGGGACACAGGGAGAGCGGGGACACAGGGAGAGCAGGGACAGGGGGAGAGCAGGGACACGGGGAGAGCAGGGACACGGGGAGAGCAGGGACAGGGGGAGAGCAGCTCCCGCGGCGGCAGCCGCAGCTGAAAGGGTGCCAAACTCAGCTAAAGGGTGTGTTGAAACTCAGCTAAAGAGTGTGCAAACCTCAACTGAAAGAGTGTGCAAAGCCAGAAGTCGCTCATGAAGGTGCAGCACAAGTTTCTTTCTGTATAGAAGCACAGGGAAATCTCATGTCTCCAATATTCTCTCGTCTTAGCCTCTATTGTTGACAGTTTACTCGAGGATGAAGTGGTATAGCCATAGGCACACTCTGGTAGCACGAGAATTGCGTGGGGTTAGACTATAGGAGAATTTAATCCAAATATTTTTACTTTTACCGATCATGGGAAAATTCCCCTACTCTACTTCCATTGTTTAATTATGGCAAAAAAATCTTTCCTGTAGATGTGCATAAAATACCTTAGAACTTTGAAAGAGGAACAAGAAAACTTTCACGAGCAACAGAGAAATCCAGTTTTGAACGTCGTGGGTATTTTGAACATCTTCTCAGCTGCACCCTTACTGCCAGTGAAGCAAATCAAGGGGGGCCCCATTTCTCTTAATTTTTATAGTAATCAGACCAAGTCTAACTTTTAAAAAGTAGCCTCATTTAAATTAGTGCATTAAATAGATGCGTATTAAAATAGTCTAATATAACAGCAATTATTACACTGTCCAAATCTAAATACAATCTTTAAGCTTGACAGTCTGTGGTAAAGGCTTAGCAAAAGAGGTTTTTTCATCCTATTATGCTGCTTCTTATGCTGGTGTTAGAGATATTTAAATGGAAAGATTAGAATGTAGCCCATGATTTATACCCCTTTTTTTCCCATTGATTTCATCAACAAACAGTAGTGGCAGTGTTAAACAAGGTTATAATAACTTGTTTAATTAAAAATATCACCATTATTTTAGCATTTGAAATAGTCATCTATGCTTTTATCACAGCAACAACTGAGCTATTTGTTGGATCAGTTGGATCAAGTTTCCAGACGACTTCCCATTCTTTCAAATATACACTGGCTCATTTACAGACACAAAGACAGGACTGGAATGGACAACTGGCTCACCAGACCCACCGGCCATTCATCACAGCGTGATGCTTCAGCAGAAGATATGCTCCGTTTCCTCTTCCCAGCCTAAGCTGCCCTGTAATGAATTTTTTCAGTGAATTTTCAAAGATGCCGAAAAGATTTGAGATTCAACACTGGAGCCCTTTGAAAATTCAAGTTAGTTTCCATACAGATGCTCCTCTCTGTCAGATCATGGTGCTCTGCTCTGTGTTGGCATGCATTTCACGTATGACTGCAGTAGCAGAAATCAAAATGCCCTCCCATAATTATTCTTTATGCCTTCCTTCATAATCAAGAACAATCAAGATCCTCAGCTACAGACTACTGTTGAAAGCTATTAAGCTACAGATACTTAAACAAACACTATCTAGGGCTTTAACCCTACTAGAAATCTCACCTTTGGGCAGGTAGACTGAATTTCCCTGGTTTTGGTGTTTTGGTGTTTGTTTGCTTGTTTTGTTTTTTTAATTAAGCCTCACCAGCAATAAAAAATATATGCAATAAAATTCTCATGATGAGACTGAAATAAAAATATCAGTTACCACCCACTTCCCTACTGAATTGTGTTGCAACTTAAAATCTTCACACATAGAGTTATTTCAAGCTTATTAACACCTGATTCAGTATCTTTCTTGTATGAGAAAGATTTTCATAAGATAATCTACAGAACTCTAGAGAAGGTAATTGCTGTAAATGTTTAGGACTGATAGAGGGAGGAGAACAGTCCCATAAAAGGCCACACTATGCTAATAAACATGCCAAGTAAAAGGTATGATCATTAGACAACATCATGTCCAGCCTTCATGATTTATTTCCTTCTTTCCAGAAGAAAAAAAAGGGTACATGATCTGATCTTAGAACACTGCTTCCAACTTCTTCAAAAATCTATTCATCTTCTCAAGATTCATCTCTGAGAAAGAGAGAATACATTTCCTTGATGTGTGTGGTGTGGAACCTAAAAAAGTATGGGTTTGTCTGTAATGTTTGTCATAACATATATTCAAGCAATGCTGTAAGGTATTGCACATTGATCCCACTGATATGAGAAGAAGCTGACAGTCAGTTTAAAGGAGATTCATCACTTAGGAAAGAGCTTTTCTCCCCAGAATAGGAAGGTACCTCAGCTTCTCCTAGCTATAGAGCAGTATTAGCAGTAATGCTGCTGTTTATGTAGATGATGGCAAAGGAGGATCAGAGGGACAAACCTTGAAGCAAGAATCTGAAGTGCTGGCATGGGCATGGGCAGAAAGGCATGTCTGGCCCAAAGAGTGAGTGATACCATCCAAATGTACCAATCAAAAGCAGATCCAGGGCTCTCCCCCTTGGAGCACTCACACAGGGAAAGAGATAAAAGCTTGGTTCTTCATCTTCAATAACCAGAGGCTTTCCTGGAAGGAAGAGACATCAGGGGAGAGTTTGTTGAGTCCCACAAGAAGATATGTCATCTTCATGCATGATGTGCAAGGGGGTGTACAGCAAAATGTTGTAATATGTTACAAAAAATTATGTCCCCAAAGCCTGTTTTGGCCGAACAGGCAAAACCCACACTGATGGGTGAAAAAATTTCTGAAGCAAATAATTAAAAGGCACAAGGCTGCAAAAAAAGTCCTGAGCTAACTGAGTTATCTGCCAATTTCCCCTGATTTTAAAGTACATTAAATATATACATGTACATCAGCTACTGTCAGGAACTCATACTGGAACAGCATGACTGAGTATTTCTAAGGGCCTTCTCCTTGGCACAGACACAGACTTTAATTGCAGAGCTTGGATAAAGAGTAAACGAGCTGTTTAATGTGAAAAATTAAACCTCCTCATATATAGACAGTGTTCAGCTCTGCCAGTTAGACAGCAAGTCTTTGACAGAAAACTGTTCATAGCCTACTTCCATCAGGGGAACAATTTAAGTTATATCAGAATAGGTTTTTTCCTGTCATGCTTCCCATTCCCAGACATCTTTGTAAAGTCTGCAAACAGAGATGCCAACATACCCTATTCTGACCTACATAGCAAACAATTGGACTTGTGTTCCTGCTGTGTTATCACCAAAATGAATCATTATCATGTCTTCTCAAAGGCCTGGCAAGATGGAGACTTTTCTGCTGGGAAGTGTCAGCTGAATCCTGCACCTACTGCTCTCATGACACCAACTGCATATTTTGTGTTTATCGCAGAAAAGAAAAACACCCAGCAGAAAAAGGCTCAGCTTTGAATTTTGCTCTTTGCCAGGACAAACATGGGAACCAGTGAAGCACAGCTCTGAAAGCTCAAGCTTATTAAGCTCCAGGGACAACAGCAACAAAAAAATTTCATCAATCTTTTTTGAAAAACAGAATAAAGATGCTAGATAAAAATGCGCATACACACTCCCCCACACATACATAAATTGCACAAACCTAAGGAACAGAAACAGCCATAGCATCATTGTTCTCTTTTCTGTATTTGAGAAGAATTTTAGGGGTAGGTCTGGCAGTTACTGGAGTCAGGAGGAAAAAACTTGCTAGGAATGGGTCATGGAGATGACAAACTGTTCTTTGCCTTCTCAGGTTCAGAAATCCCTAGGTTGGCTTGGCAATTAAAGGTCCCCACTGACTCAGAAAGATTAACTCCAGGGGAAGTCACCCTACCAGGAGCGAGCAGCTGGCAGTGGTTAATATTTATGGTCTTCTGCGGCAATGGTGGGTGGGGTCTGAAAAAAATGTAGGAGATTTGGACTAGGTGTCTTTGAATCAAGCCTGCATTAACCTATGTGATCTGAAGCTTCTCTCTTACCAGCATTTGGAGCATAAAATCCTATCACTTATGCCTAACTGCCACACACTTGTAACCCTATACATGTGGGATAAAATTAAATCAAGACAAATGGAGACACCCATATTCCCCCTTTATAAGCATAAAAGGCACATTTTTTTGCCAGGGCAGGGTTCAGGAACTTTAGATATCTAGCTAGAAAAAATTTCTTCTCTCCCCATTAAGAGATATCTCTTAGAGTTTGTCAGACATCCAAAATGTTATTTCTGCTCTCTTCATTAGAAACCATGTCTTGTAAGTGACAGAGATGTACTCTTCACAGACCACCATTTACTTAAACAAATTATTAATCATAAGGTGATGATGGAAGGCAAGAACTGCTCCATCTCCAACATGACCCGACAGCATTTGGTTCGACCTTTGTTTTGCTCGGAAAATCCCCAAAGTTACAAATGTCTATTGGGTGGGTTGAAGCTGGCTGACAGTGAGGTTGGCTTTCTCAGGGTTTTGTGTCCTTGCTTCTTTGGTGAGCTCTGTAGGCATAGTTCCCTGGACACTGGGGCATTCAGAGATCAACAGTTCAAAACCACCTCTCTGTGAAATGCATCCTCATTTCAATATACAACAGATCGCTGCCCTCATCTGAGGAAAGAGAGCACCAGACATGTTATTCTTTACCTCATCAAGGACTTCAACAGCACAATGGAACAGCAACTTACCAAACAAATACAGAGGACAGCTTTTATTTATTATTTATCTCATAGAAGACATATAAAATTAATTACTGCAAAATATTTCAAGGATTGAAAATATTGTCTACAGTAAAAAAGGGGAACTAAAATCATAACAGCCTAAGTGGTAGAAGTGTGAAAGTCTGTTGCTAAATGCAAGTGTTTGCATTTTTAGGATAACTGAAAATTATAATATTCCAGATTCCTAAGCCAACTGCAATGCAAACCCGCTTAAACATGAGTTTTAGAGCAGAACTGTAATCACTAAGATCTTTACTGTCTCAACAAAACAGATCATGGTCGTTTCAAATGAGACCTTACTTTGAAAGCTCAGAAAACAGGTAATTACAGCAAGCCCTCTTTTGATTGGTGTCCAAAGATAATTTTCAAAAGGAAGAATTATGAATCACCTAAAGATCCACAGAACAATTCTATATATTGTATTTTTGAAGTCACAAATCTCTGAATTTCATTTCATGATGGAGTCAGTAACACCTTTTTATTTATTAAAGTGGCTAAATACTTACCCTCCCACGTACTGGATACTGTAGTTTCCATTCAGTATGCTCTCCCAAATCCCATCCTTTTATAAAAGTAGTGTACCACTGGCAGGACTACAGAAAATCAAGGCAGGAAAACTGGTTCAAGGAGACAAGGCAGTGTTCTTTGTTTATTGCCAGATTGTTATATGCATTATTTTTGCCTATATAACTATTTTTGATAATCTAAATACTACTTATCTGATTACCTGAAATACGAAGCCTTTCTATATGCTCCCAGTTCTTGCTCTTATCCTGAAAATCTCTACTAATAGCTCCTAGAGAAGGACTTAAAAAACCAAACTTAAGATGGAAATATTCAGAAAGAATTTAAATATTACTTTTCACTCAAAAAATCCAGCTTCTAACATATGTACCTTTTCTCTGCAGGAAAACAGTTTTTCCTCTGTCCAACATGCAATACAGAATTATGGGAATTGTTCCATCCCATGCACTCAGCACCACAAATGAGAGGCTATGCCTTAGTAATTTGTGGGGCTTTTACCTCCCCTGTTGGGCTGGGAGGATAATACCTAGAAGACATATTCTGGGAGTTGTTCCATGCAAAAATTCCTGTACAGGGCTGCACTGTTTACATTGACTACAAATCTGTATGCACAAGAGAGCTCAGCATGGGAACAAAAACCTATCTCTGAAGTCATTCTGTGAAACAAATTGAACCTAGTTTTCACCA